AATCAGCTAGCCAAAAATCTCATGTTTAACCTTAACCGATTTGATGATTAGAGGATAAGAATCCAAGCACATCTCAGTGCCTTGCATGATGAAATGATTGATGTTATTACCACCAGACCAATCCAAATCATGAAGGTCAGTTTAACCAGACCAGCAGACGGTCAGGAAGACATCTACATCCCAAAGCCTAAACTAGAATGGACTAGTGAGGATAGAAAAAGAAACAATCTGGATAATATTGCTAAGGACATATTGTTCAAAGTAGTAGATGAGACCATTTTCCCTAGAATTAGGAAGTGTGCGTCAGTCAAGTCTGCATGGGATGAATTGATCAAAATAGGATCAGGAGATGAACAGGAAAAAGATAACAAATTGACAATGGCCCTTAAGAAATTTGAGGACTTCAAAATGATGTCTCGAGAAGCTGTGCTAGATATGGAATCTAGATTCTTGAAAATTGTTGCTGAAATAACTGACTTAGGGAAAACTTTATCTCAAAAAGAAATCTCCCTTAAAGTCTTAAGACGATTACCTACCAAATGGGATATGAAGGTTACTGCTATGAGAGATGGCAGAGATTTGAGAACTCTTTCAACCGATAAGCTTTTTAGTAACTTAAAAGCTTATGAATTTGAAATGAAGGAGATAAAGGAAGAAGAAAAAGAAGAAGTGAAAACCTTAGCTTTAGTAGCTGAACCTAGTTCTTCCAAATTGAGTGACAAAACCAAAAACAACCCTCTCACCGATGAACAATTTGCCATGTTCGTGAGAAAATTCCAAAGGTTCTTAAAGAAGGATGGATCCTCATCTCCAAGAAGACCAATGAATCTGCCATACAGAAAAACTGGGCGAACTCCTACAAATGATGATGTACTATGCTATAACTGTAGGGAACCTGGACATTACAAAAATGAATGTCCACATCCTATAGTAAGCAAATACCAAGGGAAAACAGCTTCACCAATAGCTGGATTCAAGCAGCAAACTGGTAAAGGCAGGAGGTAAGCCTTTGTCAGTGAAAAGAAGGAGATCCACATAGAAGATGATCAAAGCAGCTCAAGTGACAAGAGCAGCTCATCAGACAGTGAGGAGGAAGCCCTGATCTGCCTCTTTGGAATGCACCAAGATGATAACATCTCCCACAACTGTCTTATGGCCAGAAACAATGAAAGTGACAATGATGAGGTATTATCCTGCTCTTCATATAGCTCATATGATTCCAGATGTTCCAGTGTAGATATGGAAGCATTACTACATGAATTTGAAAACTTTCAAAAGAATCATCTTCTTTTAATGACTGAAAATAGTAGACTTCAAGAAAATCTAATAGTAGCCCAAGCTCAGATGAGTGAAGTGATAAAAATGAAAGATTTTTTTGAACTTGAAAACAACAGTTTAAAAGAAAGACTGAGATCCCTCACTCTCCCTATTACTGAGGAAATCCAACACAACCGGAAGAACACAAGATTAGGTTACTCACCCTTATCTCAACCACTGAAAGACTCTCTCAAATACTCCTCCATCACACAACACACCACAAGCCAAAAGAACACAAGAACAACAATCCAACAAAAATCCCATTCCCAAATTCCTCCCAAAAGAAAGAACCAGCCCGCTTCTAGAACAAGATCCAAACTCCTTACAAACCCAATTCCCAAACTGACCAACCAAATCAAAGAACCAGTTGAAAACCTATAAAAAGGACCAACAACAATCCAAAGAAAAAGTTGATTCCTCTCAATACACATATTCCTTCTCTCAATTATAAAAGGAATAATGTTCACAAATATGTAGCCATCCCTTTTGATTACAACACTCCAAATGGCTATAGACCCATCAGCTTAAATTTAAATGGTCCTAGATGGGCATGGATGCCTACACTCATACAAAGGAAGATGCTCACTAACTTGTGGGCTACTGCTCAAAACTGATGAATATAGGAAGGTGCTGGAGCAGCTGACTCGCAAGAGTGGTGCATAGATTCAGGCTGCTCCAGGCACATGACAGACAGCAGGAGGCTACTGTCAAATTTCAAAGCTGGAGAAGGACCCAAAGTAACATTTGGGAATGAGGAGAAAAGAGGAGAAAAGAGGAGAAACTAAAGGAGCTGGAGACCTGATCAAATGCGGACTTACAATCCAGAACATATCTTATGTAAAGGGATTGAAGTTCAATCTAATAAGCATAAGCCAGCTCTGCGATAACAATTGCAATGTGACATTCTCCAAAGACATCTGCTTGGTCAGAGATGTCCAAAATAACAAAGTTGTGCTCACTAGTAGAAGAAAGAAGGATATGTATATTGTTGATTGGAGCTCAGCTAAGGAAGGAATCTGCTTAGTAACAAAGGCAGATTCAAATTTAAGTTGGGAATGGCACAACAAGCTCAACCATCTCAACTTCAAAACCATCAACAAACTATCCAGAAAAGGATTGGTGAAGGGACTTCTAGAAATCAATTTCAGGAAAGACCACTTATGTGATGCATGTCAAAAAGGGAAGCAAACAAAGGTTTCATTCAAATCCAAAGAAACAGAATCATCAACTAGACCTTTAAGCCTACTGCACCTTGACTTGTTTGGACCAGTTGAACCAACAAGTCTAAGTGACAGAAGGTACACCTTGGTTATAGTAGATGATTACTCCATATACACATGGACCCTATTCCTCAAGAAGAAGAATGAAACAGAAAAGAAGCTCCCTGAACTGATGTAATTGATCCAAAATGAGAAAAGTCTATCGATTCAAAAGATCCGGTCAGATAGAGGTACTGAATTTCTAAACTCTATAGTAATCCAGTACTGTGAAGAAAATGGAATACATCACCAAACCTCAGCATCAAGAACACCACAACAAAATGGTGTTGCTGAAAGAAGGAACATGACACTTAAGGAGGCTGGAAGAACAATTCTTGAAGCAGCAGGACAATAATGTTACACTCGAGAAAATTATGTGACAAAATTTCTTGTAACACTATTTACTAAAAGCAAGTAAATAGTGTTACAAGAAATTTTGTCACATAATTTTCTCGAGTGTAACATTATTTTCTATGCGTTCTGTCATTCTGACCGCAAGTTGGTCTTCTGTCTTCTTGTTTCTGTGCTAAGAGAAGAATAACAGATGTTGAGATTTCGATCAGATACCTGAACAGAATACCTTACCAGAATACCTATGAGGTCTTCTGTTCTGGTGTCAACAGAGAACCAACTCTGTTTGAGGTTCTCTGTTCTGATCATAACAGAAGGTCTTCTGGTATAAATCAGAGACCCCCTTTTTGGTGTACACCAGAGTTGATCAGTTCTGATGTCCATCAGAGTTGAGGTTCTCTGGTATGATCAGAAGGTCATTGAAGGTTTTCTGATTAGTCTATTCAAAAGGGCTTCAGTTGACTCTTTTCGTACCTTTTTCTTTTTGTTTCTTTTCTCTTTGTTTTATGGTACGTTTCTTCTCTTTTTAGTACTCTCTGTTTTTCTTGAGTACTTTATCACTTTTGAGCACATTACAATTAACAGTAGCAGAACAAATACAAGTGCTAGTTTATTACAGGGATAGTATTACAAAAAGGGGTGACATCATCAAAACAATACTTGTTCATCAAAATCTAGGGGACCTAACAACTTTATTCACAAGTCCATCTACAAGAAAGTTATTCTCACTATTTATATAGAGGTCAAGACTTCCGCTGTGCATATATAATCTCTCAAAAGGTTATAGTTCACTCTACCTAGTTGGGAAAAACTTTAAAGTCGAAAAAGCTTTAAAAGTCTATTCAACCCCCCCCCCCTAGACTTTTACCTCTATCCGGGACCATCAGATTATTTAACCTTGATAAAGGTTGTTCATTCCTACTACAGTCTTTGGTAAGACTAAGTTGAGTTTTTTGGAATTTAGATGAGTCTGGAATTTTTAATTTGTCTTTGCGAGTACCAGTTAGGCATGGCCTATATTTTTTTCTGGCTGGTTATGAAACCTTCGCAAGTATTTTTCAAGTGTGAAGGACATTCATGAACTAAAAATGCAATTTTATTGAAGATTTCTGAATAAAAAGACTACATAGTTACTGGTAGAACTTCAACAAATGCTCTGAAGTCCACACTCTGTCTACTAGCTTTTCCTTTAGGAGTACATAATTTATATGTCCTGCCCTCCTGGGCCCAACTATTCCTCTGATCTTGTAGGGCCCTTCCCAATTTTTGGCAAACTTCCCACCTTCCAGAGGCTTGCTACCAGATCTTCTCCTTAGGACCAAATCTCCAATGCTAAATTATTTTGGTCTGACTTTGGCATCATAGTATTCCTTCACTTGTCGCGTACAAAATTCAGCTCTGATGAAAGCTCTGTCCCTTCTTTCCTCAATTAAGTGGATCTCGGCTCTTAGCATTTCTTCATTATTCTTAGGGTCATAGTCTTCCACCCTTTTGCTAGGCACTAACGCCTCTAATGGCGCTCAGGCTTCAAAGCCAAGTATTTAAAGATTTAAATCTCGAAATAAATTAAATGTCTACATGTTCTCAAACTGAAATAAGCAATAACTAGGTGATTATAAATACTAAACCACGTGATCTAACGCAGCTCTCATCATCAAGCATAACTTTCATCACATGCACAATTAAAGTGCATAAAACAAAACAAAAAAAGGAAACAAAAATCAGCTTTTTAGCTAAGTAAGACTCACCCAACTCCGTAAAAAAATATAGTTTGAGAAAATAGTTTTTATACATATAGAGTAAGACCCACTCAAGCATATAATATTTATTTATTTATTTAGTTAGTTATTTAGTTATTTATTTGTTAATTAATTAATTAATTAATTAATTAATTAATTTACTTACTTACTTACTTACTTACATATTTATTTGTTTGTTTGCTTGCTTTTTAATCAATTATTTATTCATTTATTTATTTATTTATTTCTTTATTTATTTATTTACTTATTTATTTACTTATTTACATATTTATTTGTTTTTTAATAACTTATTTATTTTCATATTAATTTATTTATTCATTTATTTTTTATTTATTCATTCATTTATTTACTTATTTATTTGTTTGTTTGTTTTTAATCAATTATGTAATTATTTATTTACTTATTTATTTATTTATTTATTTATTTATTTACATATTTATTTGTTTTTAATCAATTATTTACTTATATATCTATCTATCCATCCATCCATCCATCCATCCATCCATCCATCTATCTATCTATTTTTATTTATTTATTTATTTATTTATTTATTTATTTATTTATTTATTTATTCATTCATCATCCATATTTTCCAATTAGGTATTTTCTGATGATTTTTTAAATTTTTTAGTTGTTTCGTTTTTATAGACTTTTAAAGTTTTTTTCTTTGGTTTTGCTTCGTTTTTAGTTTTTTTATAGTTTTTTTAGTTTTATAGACTTTTCAACTCGAACCGAAAAATAAAAATAACAACAAGATAATTAAAAGAAATCCAAACTTGAAACAACATATTTCAAACCCTAACCACAAGATACTTCCACGGTGACGGTTCGGGAGGGGGACAGACGAGCAATATTGCATCATCTTCCCCTCCTTTCTCCTTATTCACAACATTCTTTGCTACCGAGCAATCGAAAGTGTAGGAGAAGCCGCCGTGTAGCCAAGTTCCGTATTGATTAACAATGGATTCCACGATTTCTTCTTCCCGCGTTGTGCGGTTGAAGATGAACTTGCGAACAAAAACAAAACATGCGCGAGGTTGAAATTATCTGGTCGCACAAACCTAAAACGACTGGTAGAAAGCTAAGCCCCACGTTGAGGGAAAGGTTGCACAAATGCATTGAAAACTTTAGCTCTCTACTTTAGGGTTGCACAAATGAAAAGAAAACCTTAAATTTTCTATTTTTGAAAAAATGAACAATAAAAAAGTGAAATTATTTTAAATTTGTAATTCGTTTGTGAAATTTTCCCAATTAAAAAACATCATGAATGGGACAGATACATGAGATATACTAAGTATGTTTGTACTTGGACTCGTTTCAGTACAGACAAGACCAATTCAGACTAGATCAGACCAAACCAGACTTAGATAGTTATAAAATGCACAAAGACTAGACATTTACCAAACTAGTTCAAACCAGATCAAACCAGCAAATTTCGGTCCAAATAAAAACATTCTAATAAACATTAACCCTTCCAAATTGAAATTATTTTTGAAATATCCACACTTTCAATATACTAATAATACGGAGTATATTTCAGAGAAAGCATGATTTCTCTAAACTTTTTATGTGTTGCAAATTATAAAATGAACATTAATGGTTTTTCTTCGCGTAATTACGATGCAAAACAGCTGCACGGACAGCATCCCTAAATAACCTCAGACCCCGCGCCGCTTTCACCGCTCATTCATTTTTGACTCGCATTTTCTTCCCTGCTTTTACCCCGAGTCTCAAAATATTTTTACCCAAAGCCGCCATTAACGGGCAGATTTGTTTCTTCTTTCTTAATTCTTATCCTGCACCTGGAACAGTTTACCTCAGCATTCAGATCCGTCACCTTTCGTGTTTTAGAGAGTGAAACAGAAAGGTTTGGGCGAATATTAGTAAATCTTTCTGCAAGTGTACTTCTTTTTCTTTGGATATTTGAAGCTTTCTCGAAGCTGGATGCGTAGGGGGTTAGTAAACACTTTTAACAACTCTCATTTACTCGGTCTTTACACTCTCTCTTCAATCCGTTGAAAAACTTGGATAGAGACGTACATATAACGAAGAAATAAATAGTGGGCTGTTTCGTTTTGACTTAATATTCTTCCTCTCATTAATTAATAGTTTATATATATATGTGTGTGTATACATATTATATGTATATATTCACATACTTACATACATACATACATACATATATGATACAATTAAGACTGAAAAAAGAGAAATTTGTGGCTGAGTCGTGATTGTATAGCATATTGGTAGTGGGCCCATGGTTATATATGCAAAAGCCTCATTACAGTTGTAAATTGTTATGCCCTGACTAGGCACATCCGTGTATGTCCTGCAGTATTTTGTATGCGGCCGCTTCACATTATACATAAGGGTTTCCGTTTTTGAATGTTTCTTACACGCTTTGGCCTTGATTTGTATGTTTCTTTATTAGTGTTGGTAACTAGTGAAGGCCATATACGTGCATATCATGGAATCATGCTTTGTTTAAGAGATTGTGTGTGATCAAAGATCTGATCTCTGCATATACTTTTTTGAGCTGCATTCTTTATCAAGGTTTGAATCTATTCATCTTCTAGAGGAAAGCTGTCCGATCTCTTCCTTTTGTGTAGTGGATATATGCCATTCGATTTTTTTCTAGTGTTAATTCTTCAAAGTTTGGGTCTTGGTGCTATTGATGCTGTTTAAACATTCTCTTTTGAGCTTTGAAAGGGTGTTGGATCTTGCTTTCTTTATTAATTCACTGTATATAGCTCCAAATAATCTTCATCTTAATTCACAACTGTTTTTAATTCTAAATTCATGCGTTGTCATGTCTATCTTTTCTTTGGCAGGTAAACAATTGAAGTAGCATTATATTGATTCCCACCACCACAATATGGCTGGAAAATCATTCAAAGCACCGCCTCTGGACCCGCAAACAGGAAAGCTCCAAGGGGGTGGTCCTTCAGTGACCTTTGCAAGGAGGACATCATCAGGGCGGTATGTGAACCTATCAAGGGACTCGCTTGACAGTGAAATAAGCGGTGTGGAGTTCGCAAACTACACAGTACACATCCCGCCTACGCCCGATAACCAACCCATGGACCCATCTATTTCCCAACGGGTGGAGGAGCAGTATGTGTCCAATTCTTTGTTCACAGGAGGGTACAACAGTGTCACACGTGCTCACCTCATGGACAAGGTGATTGAGTCAGAAGCCAACAACCATCCTCAAATGGCAGGGGTAAAAGGGTCTTCTTGTGCGATACCGGGTTGTGACGGGAAGGTGATGCGTGATGAACGGGGCGATGACCTTCTTCCATGCGAGTGTGACTTCAAGATTTGTAGGGATTGCTACATAGACGCTGTGAAAACGGGTGGTGATGGGATTTGTCCTGGCTGTAAAGAGGCTTATAAGAACACTGATTTGGATAAGAACGCTGTGGATCCAATCAGGCAACAGCCTTTGTCTTTGCCGTCTAATGTTGGGATGTCTAAGATGGAGAGAAGGTTGTCGTTGATGAAATCCGGGAGTAAGTCTGCACTGGTAAGAAGTCAGTCTGGCTTGACTAGGAGTCAAACAGGGGATTTTGATCACAATAGATGGTTGTTTGAGACGAAAGGGACTTATGGTTATGGTAATGCTATATGGCCAAAGGGGGAAGAAGGCGGATCTGGAAATGAGAAAGGTGATGAGCCTTCTGAACTTCTTAACAAGCCATGGAGACCCCTAACTCGAAAACTGAAGATACCTGCTGCTGTTATCAGTCCATATCGGTGAGCCTTTGTTCCCATGTATTTTGGGCTTTGTAATCTCAATATAATTGTTCTCTTTTCATGTTTGCAAAAATATCACTAGGTTTCTCACTCCTCCTTATATACCGTATTTCATTTTTAGACCCTTGTAAAGTTAATTTTTTCATGATTCATCTTTGTAGTTTTTGTTACTCCCTTCCCACTAAACTTTGCCACATTTACTTAATTAGCCGTCCTAAAAAAACTGTCATTTCTATGAAAGAATGATTTCATTACAGCGGAGGAAGGCTCACTTAATAAGGTGACTGCCCACAATCTCCCTCCATAGAACTGAGAAAAACCATTATTATTTACAACCTCAGAAAATTTTCGGATGGAGGGAGTATTATAAGTTATAACTTATATTTAGTCTTTATACCAAAAAGGAAAAAGAAATGGAGCTTTCACCAATAAATACTGGTCTAAGGCACTTAAAAGTGACCAGAGACCTGACTATCCGAGTGAACCCAACGCCTAAAAATGTCAATTTTTATGTTGACACTACAAATTTCATGCTACTGAACCTAACATAGTCACCGGGATCAAGGTGATAACGATGATGGTCGAAATTCTTCTTATGTGCTGAAAAAGCATCTGTTATATTGTTACTCCTTTAGTCCTTGTATCATTTTCTTGATTATGACAGGCTCTTGATTTTGATTCGGGTCATTGTGCTTGGATTGTTCCTTGCATGGAGAGTCAGTCATCCAAACAATGACGCAATATGGCTATGGTACATGTCGATCATATGTGAAATTTGGTTTGCCTTCTCCTGGCTGTTAGATCAACTTCCCAAGTTATGCCCAATCAACCGTGCAACTGACCTCAATGTCCTAAAAGAGAAATTTGAAACTCCTTCTCCCGCTAATCCTTCTGGAAAATCCGATCTCCCGGGTCTCGACATCTTTGTCTCAACTGCAGATCCAGAAAAGGAGCCACCCCTTGTCACCGCTAATACCATCCTCTCTATTCTTGCTGCGGACTATCCGGTTGAGAAGCTCTCTTGTTATGTCTCTGATGATGGTGGGGCCCTCCTCACTTTTGAAGCCATGGCTGAAGCTGCAAGTTTTGCCAACATATGGGTCCCATTTTGCAGGAAACACAGCATTGAACCTAGGAATCCGGAGACTTACTTTAACATGAAAAGGGACCCATACAAGAATAAGGTCCGTCCTGATTTTGTTAAGGACCGCAGACGGGCAAAACGGGAGTACGATGAGTTTAAGGTTAGGATTAATGGTCTGCCAGATTCTATACGTAGACGCTCTGATGCTTATAATGCCCGCGAAGAGATTAAGGCAATGAAACTTCAAAGAGAGGCGGCCGGTGATGAATTCTTGGAGCCTATTAAAATCACCAAGGCCACTTGGATGGCAGATGGGACTCACTGGCCTGGCACGTGGAATGCTTCCGTCCATGAGCATTCAAGGGGTGATCATGCTGGAATTATTCAGGTAATAATCTCATTTGCACAACAACACAAGTTCTAAACTAAGTCACTGGGAAATTTTAAAATACATCAAAGTACTGCTACTTTTTCTTTTGTTCTACTTGATTAGCCCCCCCCCCCTGCTTATGTACGGAGTAATATTTTGTTGGTTTTTGTTTGTGTGGTGTTGTAAGGCTGTGTTCGAAAAACAAGTTTGATAAGATCACTGATAAGTCAAAACCCCTGCCCCCAGTACCCTTTTTTAGTTTAGGTAATGTTCAACGTCATAAATCTCAAGTATCATATACTACGTATTACTTCTCTATGACTTCACAAATTACATTAAAATGCTTTTTAACGAGGTTAAAAAGATGGATCTGCAAACCAAAATCTGATGTTACTTATTTGAAACTCTAATCAAGAAAAGCTTGTTGTGAACAAGTTTTGAGTATGAAATAAGTTCCTCGTTCCAAACCCTACTTATTTGAATGATTCTTTTGAAAAACCCATTCGACGACAGTTTGTGATAGGCCTTATTGTCTGACTTCCTTATTGTTGTCGACCGCATTGTAGGTGATGCTGAAACCACCAAGTGATGAACCACTGCACGGGAACACTAATGGCGAAGGCAACACCGCCATCGATTTGACAGAAGTTGATATTCGGCTACCGTTACTGGTCTATGTTTCCCGCGAGAAACGGCCCGGCTATGATCACAACAAGAAGGCTGGGGCAATGAATGCCTTAGTCCGGGCTGCAGCAATCATGTCCAATGGCCCATTTATCCTCAACCTCGACTGTGATCACTATGTTTACAACTCACAAGCAATAAGAGAAGGAATGTGCTTCATGATGGACCGCGGTGGTGACCGTTTATGCTACATCCAGTTCCCTCAAAGGTTTGAGGGAATTGATCCGTCTGACCGTTACGCAAACCACAACACGGTTTTTTTTGACGTCAACATGCGTGCCTTGGACGGCTTGCAGGGTCCGGTTTATGTGGGTACGGGATGTCTCTTCCGCCGGACTGCTCTTTACGGGTTTGATCCGCCAAGAAACATGGAATACCAACCCAGTTGCTGTACCCGTCGGAAGAAAAGGTCGCGTGCCAGTGTGGCTGCTGATCGGGAGGAGGAGGATAGGGGTCTTAAGATGGGCGATTTTGATGATGAGGAGATGAATTTTGATGCTTTCCCCAAAAGGTTCGGTAACTCGAGCCTTCTCATTGATTCGATCCCAGTTGCTGAGTTCCAAGGTAGACCACTTGCTGATCACCCGGCAGTTAAGAATGGGCGCCCTCCCGGTGCCTTGACCATTCCCAGAGACCTTCTTGATGCGTCCACAGTTGCCGAAGCCATCAGTGTCATATCGTGTTGGTACGAGGACAAGACAGAATGGGGTAACCGTGTTGGGTGGATATACGGATCGGTGACAGAAGATGTGGTGACGGGTTACCGGATGCACAACCGTGGGTGGAGATCTGTGTATTGCGTCACTAAGAGAGATGCATTCCGTGGGACGGCACCCATCAACCTGACAGATAGGCTCCATCAAGTTCTGCGGTGGGCTACGGGCTCCGTGGAGATCTTCTTTTCCCGGAACAACGCTCTGCTGGCCAGCCCCAAGATGAAAATACTGCAGAGAATCGCGTACCTCAATGTCGGCATCTACCCATTCACCTCCTTGTTCCTCATCGTCTATTGCTTCCTTCCGGCCCTCTCTTTGTTCTCAGGTCAGTTTATAGTCCAAACCCTCAACGTTACGTTCCTCACGTACCTGCTAGTCATCACTCTGACACTGTGCATGCTTGCTGTTCTCGAGATCAAGTGGTCGGGAATCAACTTGGAGGAGTGGTGGCGGAATGAGCAGTTTTGGCTGATTGGAGGGACAAGCGCCCACTTGGCGGCTGTTCTACAGGGTCTGCTCAAAGTGGTGGCTGGGATAGAGATTTCCTTCACCCTCACTTCCAAGTCAGCCGGGGATGAGAATGACGAAGAATTTGCTGATCTTTACATTATTAAATGGAGTTCACTTATGATCCCACCCATCACCATCATGATGACCAATTTGATTGCAATAGCGGTAGGGTTTAGTAGGACCATATACAGTACCATCCCACAATGGAGCCGTTTGATCGGCGGGGTGTTCTTTAGTTTCTGGGTTTTGGCTCATCTTTACCCTTTTGCTAAAGGGCTAATGGGAAGAAGAGGTAGGACACCCACTATTGTGTTTGTTTGGTCAGGCCTTATTGCTATTACTATATCACTTCTTTGGGTCGCCATCAATCCTCCATCCGGTACTTCTGAAATTGGTGGCTCATTCCAGTTCCCTTGATTTATTAGTATTTTTATTGTTGTTATTATTATTATAATTTTTTTATAATTATTATTATTATTATTACTACTTATATATCTATATATAGAGAGAGGACAATATGATAGCACTTGTTTATTTATCTTGGCAGAACCTATGGTTCTTTTTTGTAGTCCAATGGGGCATTGGGGGCCTGCACATTCTGTAATAACAAATTCAACCTCAACAACAACATCCAAACCTTATTCTCAAATAAAGAGAAGAAAAATAAGAAAAATAAAAAGATAAAGTAAGATAAAATAGATAAGACAAAGATAGATATAAGATAAAAATAGAGAGAATTCCCTAAATGGGAGTAAAACTTAACAAAAGTGCAAAAGTAAGGCCTTAAAGTTCCGTAGGACTAAAAGCAGGTGAGTAGATAAAAATAACCTTAATGATCATATATATTAATTCAACAAATTGTGCTCCAATTGACTCGAACTACAAGCAGGAGGAGAGTACAAAATAGATATGCCATCCGAAAAGAACGAGCTAACCTATTGATGGAGTATATGGCCCGGGAACCCCCGGCCCACAGACTCCTACTACTCCAGCGAAGGCCCAACAGGCCCAAAAGGCCCAACAGGCCCAAATCACAGCACCCAGAGTACCAAGCAGCCCGCACTACGCGCCAGGGGTGCCTTCGGCCCCCTGGCCGAAGGCTCCAAATTCTCACAGAACGGGTTTCTCAAGCAAACTAAGAAACTGGGAGAAAACGGCGAAAACAGCAGCCCTCGGCACCAGGGGTGCCATCGGGAGGAAGAGCCCTCGGCTACTGCTCTATAGCCGAAGGCATCTCACTCGACAAGATATCCGCCTCACATGCGTACAGATCACCGTACTCTGCACAGACGTCCCATCCAACAGCCGCATTAAATGCGGCCACATGCGGCTGCCAGCGCCAACCAGTTGAGGTGACCCCTCGGCCAATGAGCGCTTGACACGTGTCCTTGCCCGGCATTTATTGCTGCTATAAATAGCACCCCATTTCCTCATTTGTAACCACGCTGAAAAGTCATAACACGCTGAATACATATCGAATATACACTCTCTCTCTTACTTGTGTGCTCTGACTTCTCTCTAAGTTATTCCCCGTAATAACCCTTCGGATATATACCCCCGAGTAGACTATCCATCATTTGGTGCTCTCGTTGAGAGCTCGAACTATCAAGTAAGAAACCCTCCCCCTCGACCAAACACAAAACACTACCCCTCTATCAAAATGGTGAGGACAACACGTGCCAACTCAAAGAACGTAGAAGACAAGAACCTGCCCCTCGGCGACGTCAACGCCCCCGAAGCCTCTCACAGGGCTCCCGAGGGCGGTGTCATCGCTGGGCTGGAACAGGCGGCTGTCGACCTACGCCTTCAGATCCAACAAAACGCCCCCGATGCCCGCCTCGGCATCGAGGCCAAGAAGAAAGACCGGAGCGATGACCAAGTCAGCCCTCCGGTTCTCACCATCGACGTACAATCGGCGCTCTCCGCCTTCATCCAGACGCTCACCCAGAACCCGGGTGCCTTCGGCACCCTGGCTCCAGCTCACCCTCAGATCGGGGAAAATATCATGCTTCCCCCTCTACCACACCCCTTCGGAAATCCCACCCCTCGGGTGAGAAACGACGAGGGGGTGGTGGCCCAAGAGACATCCTCCCAGGAAGTTCAGTCCCGGGACCGCCATAATGACAACAGGGAGAGGCCCCGTACTTCCGCCCTCAACCGGCTCGGAGGAGGGCCAGACCGCCGAGGGGTCCAAGACCGCCTCGGGGGGAAAGCACTCCAAAGGCCCCAGGAAAGCGGGGGATCTGTTTCGAGGGCAGACGAGGAGCGTCCCCCTCGGGACAAAGGCAAGGCACCCCTTCACGCTGATGATGCTCGGCACCAAATCAACCAGGCCCACTCGGCCCGGGTTCGTTCGCAGGGGGCGGAGACCCTCCCGAGGGACCCCCGGGACGAGATTATTGCGGCCCTCCAACGCCGGCTTGACGAGATGGAGTCCAACAAAGCTCACGCCACCACCTCCACCCCTCACTCAGACCTCAAATACGAGGCCATGATGGCCAAGATGGAGGAATTACAGAAGAAGGTGGCCGAGGGCTCCGGGGAACCCGTCATCCAGCTCCGGACTCGGACGCCATTTACCCCAAGGGTATTGGCGGCCCGGATCCCGGAAAAATACCGAGGGCAACACATACAGCCCTACAGCGGGAAAACGGACCCCCAGGAACATTACAGCAAGTACCAGAACAGCATGATGATGGTGGGGGCGTCAGACGAATATTTGTGTCGTTGGTTCCTCTCCACCTTAGAGGGACCAGCATACGAATGGTTCAACAGGCTGCCCGAGGGCTGCATTGATTCGTGGCAAGAACTCACCCAACGATTCTTGACACAATTCGCCGGGAGGCGTCGCACGAGGAAGCACTTCTCCCACCTCCTAACAATACGCCAGAAGAAGGATGAGACCCTTCGGGATTTTCTGGAGCGCTGGAGGACGGAGGTCGACAAAGTCGACGGCGCTGATGACGGGACCCTCCTGGCCCTCCTACAAACCGTCCTCCGCACCGGCAACTTTTCAAGGAGCCTCATCATTGAAACCCCCCGCGACTACATAAGGGCCTTGCAGCGGGGGGACCGGTATGCTGAGGCCGAGGAGGTGGAGAAGTATCACCAACATCCGGACCAGCAGCCCCCGAGAGCTGACAACAAGCATAACCGAGGGCCGGGGGCTCCTCCAAATCGCCCCAAGACTTCGGGACCCTCCGATGACCGCCCTCGGCAAGGCCAAGCCAAGCCCGGGGGAGGTTATAAGAGCAACCCTAAGACTTGGGCCCAGCCCATTCTCCTGGACCGCCCTCGGACACCATTGACGCACCCCGTCAGCATCATCCTCGATTTTGCCGAGGAAAGGGGCCTCGTTGAGCGCGACTCTCGCGCACCCCCGGAGGTACACGCTATCAACCCTCAGTTCCCCTACTGTCGCTTCCATCGGCACCAGGGGCACAGGACCGATGACTGCCATCAGCTGAAGACGGCCATCGAGAGATTAATACAGGCGGGGCACCTGTCCCAGTTTGTTCAGAGCCCTCGGCAGGAGGGACCTTCTCATCAGGGGCCTCCCCGAGGGCACCATACGAAGGTAAATGCCTGGGTAAACCCGAACACCATCCCCCTCGGCAAGAAGAGGGAGATCGGGAACTTGGAAGAAGAGGAGGAGGAGTACCCCCACTACCAGGAGAAGAAACGCCACATCCTCATGATCACCGGTGGCAATACAGGGGGCGATTCCACCAGCCAACGAAAGAAGTGGGCTCAATCGCTTTACGTGGGGGAAGTCACTCATATGCCCCCGGTAAAGCGACTGAGGGAGGAACCCATCACCTTCACCAATGCAGATCTCCCTCCTACTTCTTCTCCTCACAGGGATGCCTTGGTGATTCGGACAGAGATAAACGACACCATCATCCACCGAACTTACATTGATACGGGCAGCTCCGTCAATGTAATGTACCTCAGCACCTTCAGAGAGCTGCATCTGGAGAGGGGGTCCCTTCGGCCCATTAAGACCCCTCTTGCCGGCTTCACCGGCGACACTATTGATTCCGAGGGGGTAATAACCCTCCCGGTGATCTTCGGCGACGGGCTCCATAGAGCCCAGCTCGAAGTGGAGTTCGTCGTCGTCAACATTGACTGCGCTCACAACATCATCCTCGGCCGGCCAGCCCTCGAGGACCTCGAAGCCATCATCTCCATGAGGCATCTCTGCCTCAAGTTTCCCGCCGAGGGGGGAATTGGCTACTCCCGGGGGAACCAAAAAATTGCCCGCGCCTGCTATCTTCAGGTCACTAAGAAGGTAAGCAAGACGGAATTCCGTATTGACACCATCACCGGAGCCGTCGACCAGGAGGAAAGAAAGCCGAGGGCTGAACCAGCCGAAGACGTAGAAGACTTTGCGCTCGATCCGGCCCAGCCGGAGAGAGTCGTGAAGATTGGAGCCCAGCTCCCTGAAGATTTGAAGACCGGTATCACCGACGCCCTCCGCGCCTACTCCACTGTCTTTGCATGGGGCCCGGAGGACATGCCGGGAATCAGCCGAAGGGTCATCACCCACCGCCTCTCGGTGGACCCCTCGGCAAAAGCAGTGCAACAACGAAGAAGACCCCTCTCCGCCGAGAGAAGGGAATTTGTGAAGAAGGAGGTCGCCATGCTCCTCTCCATTAAGCACATCAAAGAGGTGAAATATCCCTCATGGCTGGCGAATGTAGTCCTCGCACAGAAGCCCCCTACCTTCCGCATGTGCGTGGACTACACCGATCTCAACAAAGCATGCCCTATGGATCCATTCCCTCTACCGAACATTGATCAATTGGTGGATGAGACCGCAGGGTGTGAGATCATGTCCTTCCTCGATGCCTTCCGAGGGTACCATCAAATATTCATGCACGAGGAGGACGCCGAAAAAACTGCCTTCATGACTCCCGAGGGCATCTTCTGCTACCTAGTGATGGCCTTCGGCCTAAAGAACTCAGGGGCCACTTACACCCGGATGGTGGCCCGGGTCTTTCAAGCCGTCCTAGGGCGCACCATGGAGGCCTATGTCGACGACATGATCGTCAAGAGCAAGCGATCTTCCAGCCATGCTGACGACCTCCGGGAAATCTTCGCCATCATGCAAAAATTCAACCTCCGGCTAAATCCGAAGAAGTGCACCTTTGGCGTCCAAGGAGGCAAATTCTTGGGCTACATGGTGAGCCGAAGGGGTATTGAGGCCAACCCCGAGAAGATCCAGGCCATCATCAATATGGAGCCCCCACGCAATGTGAAGGAAGTCCAACGGTTGACGGGCCGCCTGGCAGCCCTCAACCGTTTTCTATCTAAATCGGCGGAGAAATCTCTACCCTTCTTCCAGATCATGAGGAAGACGGCTGGCTTTCTATGGACTCCGGAATGCCAGGAGGCTTTCGACGAGCTCAAAAGATATCTATCTTCACCTCCTGTGCTCTCCAAACCCAAGGTAGGGGAGACCCTCTACCTCTACCTGGGGGTTAGCTCGGCGGCCATAAGCTCTGTGCTCATCCGGGAGGAAGACGGCATCCAACATGCCATCTTCTACGTTAGCAAGACTCTAAGGGAGGCCGAGCTCAGGTACTCCCCTGTGGAAAAAACGGTGTTAGCCATCGTTTGG